AAAAAAAAAAAAAAAAAAAAAAAAAAAAGAACACATATGGTTCCATCAATATACAGGTTAATAGATTTTGGTGACTCCATGATGGCTAAGAACACAATGTAATTAGAAAATTTTCCCAAACCTTGGGTTCGTAACTCTGCTCACATTTTAGAGCAATGGAGTGGATTTCAATTTGCTGATGGTAAACAGAATATTTTATGTGCTGTGTTAACTAGCATATTTTTTTCATGAAACGTAGGACCACCACTGGGTTCCCTACCCTCTCCTTGCAAAAGGAATCAAAGATCATATCAATGACAAAGCAACAATTATAAAATCCTTGTTCTTTAAGATTAAAAAAAAGACGTGCAAAAAAAAAAAAAAAAAAAAAAAAAAACAGGTGCTCGGACTTCCCTGGTGGTGCCGTGGTTAAGAATCCACCTGCCAATGCAGGGGACACGGGTTCGAGCCCTGGTCCGGGAAGATCCCACGTGCCACAGAGCAACTAAACCCATGTGCCACAACTACTGAGCCCACGTGCCACAACTACAGAAGCCGCTCACCTAGAGCCTGTGCTCCGCAACAAGAGAAGCCACCTCGATGAGAAGCTGGAGCACCACAACGAAGAGTAACCCCTGCTCACCGCAACTAGAGAAAGCCCGCGTGCAGCAACGAAGACCCAACACAGCCAAAAATATATAAATAAACAAATAAATAAATTCATTAAAAAAATAAAATAAAAACAGGTGTTCAAAACAACCCCGTACACTCAGGTTCACAGCAGCACTACTCGCAATACCGAAAAGGTGGAAACAACTCAAACGTCCATCAAATGATGAATGGATAAACAAAATGTGGCACCCCCACACCATGGAATATCACTCAGCCACGAAAAGGAACTACATATTGATACATGCTACAAAATAATCTTGAAAACGGTAAATTTTATGTTATGTGTATTTTACCACAACAGAAAAAAAAAATCAAAGTCAGCTGCACCTGAATAAAGACATACAGACAATCATCTTACAAAAGCCCTTCTTCAATTCCATAATTCTATCCAGCCACCCCATCCTCCTCCACGGCCCAATCAGTCACCAAACCTGTTAAATAAAGCTCTGACAAAGTTCAAATCTGTCCACTTCTCTCCACCCAGCCGCCATAACCTAGTTCAGGCTTCCATCGTTCCTCATCAGATAATTACTAAGGTCTCAACTGCTCTCCCTTTTTCTAGCCTTGTTTTCCTCCAATCCATTCTTCTCACTGCCTGGATTTTCTCAAATACAGACTTCAGTGTATTTCCTCCTTAAAAAGCAATTCACTGGTTTCCAAAATTCTTTCCACAAAGCTGCTCGGCATCCTACTGGCCTTACCGCTCTTGCCTTGCCTCCAGCACCCACACCTCCCGCGCCTGCTGAGGCTTCTTCTGACACCTCCCCGCGCCACGCGGCTGCCTCCTGGACCGCAAGTGTGTGCCCTTCCTGACCTCTTCTCCTCCTCCAGTGCTTAGACGAGATGCCGCATTCTCTGAGAACCCTTCCCCAACATCCCCACGCTGAGGGACACACTCTTTCGAGGTCCTACTATCTTTTCCCCATCACGACACTTTTCATTCTGAATGCTTTGGATGTATTCGAATTGCTCATTTGGCCATTCTTCCCTTTAGATCACACTTTGTGAGACAAGAGGCCATGTCTATCTTTTCCATAGTTGTATCCTGAAGGCCCTCCTATAGCTCCCACTGCATTCTAGGTGCTCGATAAGTATTTACTAAATAAACAAAATGAATATGCACGTAAAATGTACTGCGTTAGTGAGTACCGGCACCATCAGCACAGAGTAGGTGTAGATAAACGCTTGCCAGTCCGATTATCACCATCTATCTCTCTATTTCAGATTTCCTCAGAATAAATTCCTAAAAGTGAAATTACAGGATCAATGACAGTAAGGCAGAACAGTTAGTGGCCCCCTTATTGTTTTTCCTGTCTTCGCTTAGTAATAGAATCCTCAAATTTTGGCTGGGTCCATGACCACCTGGAAAAAAGACCACATTCCCCAGCTTCCCTGTGTGGCAATGTGAGTAACAGCTGGATCACAGGAGTGAGAATTCCTGGAAGTTTACTAAGAGGAAGTGGAGAACCTTCCTTCGGCCCTGCCTGCTGGCCGGAATGTGAATGTGAGGGCTGGAAGCCAAACAGCCACGGCTGACCACGGGGTGGGACTCACACATTAGGGATGGCAGACAACAAGATGCAAGAAAGCTGCGTCCCTGATGCCTACGGAGCCAACCCATGACCACTTGAGAGCAAATTAAACTCATATCTTGCTTGGCTGACCATCATTTTGTTAGTTTACCCTGCTACCATCAGCCCTGACTGACAAACGGATCCTCTCCTAAAGGCTCTGCTTTGTTGAAATGTCCTGTATGATAGAGAATTTGGCTGATCCTTTGCCCCCAGTGACTGGGAGGCAGCCACTGAATCTCTGGGATTTCTCTGCTGAGTGTCTTTGTTATTCATGGTGGGTCCCTAGATAGTTTAAGCTAGGAGATGACTCTGGTTGGGGCTGGTGACACCAAGAAAACCAACCGCACATGGGAGGGTTGGGGCCTTGAGCCACTTGATACCAGCCTGGCCTCTGGGGAGGAGACAGGGGCTGGAAATTTAGTTCAACCTTGTGGCCAATGATCCAACCAATCACACCTATAAAATGAAACCCCAACAAAAGGCTGGACGTGAAAGCTCGGGTGAGCTTCCCCGGTTGGCAGCTCTCTCTGTGTGTTGTCACACAGTAATGTGCTGGGAGGGTGACATGTCTTGATTCCACGGGGAGGGGACAACAGAGACTGAGTTCGGGACCCTCCCAGACCTCCATTTCGGGGGGTGGGGGGTTGGTTCTGATTCGTATCCTTTTGCTGTAATAAACCGTCACTGTTACTGAGTTCTATGAGTCATTCCAGCAAATAATCAAATCTGAGGAGGTAGTGGGAACTGCTGGATTCATAGTCAGTTGGTCGGATTTAAAAGGAAATGCTTCATAGCACAGGGAGATCAGCTCGGTGCTTTGTGACCACCTGCCGGGGGGATAGGAAGTGGGGGTGGGAGGGAGACACAAGAGGGAGGAGCTATGGGGATACATGTATACATAGAGCTGATTCACTTTGTTATACAGCAGAAACTAACACAGCAATGTAAAGCAACTATATTCCAATAAAGATGTTTAAAAAAATTTTTTAAATAAAAAATAAAAAAAAGTAAAATTGGGCTTCCCTGGTGGTGCAGTGGTTGAGAGTCCACCTGCTGATGCAGGGGACGCAGGTTTGTGCCCCGGTCCAGGAAGATCCCACATGTCGCAGAGCGGCTGGGCCTGTGAGCCATGGCCACTGAGCCTGCGCGTCCGGAGCCTGTGCTCCGCAACAGGAGAGGCCACAACAGTAAGAGGCCCGTGTATTGGAAAAAAAAAAAAAGGAAATAAAAAAGGAAACACTTTATCTTAATTTGCATTTAGCATTTTTCATGTTTGTCTGTTGCATTTTTTTCTGTTAGTTACTTACATTCTATACTATTTTAGTTCCCTTAAAGGTTTCTTCCATTACTTCTATGATTAAAAAATTCTCCCATCTTAAGATCACTTTCACTCTTATAGTTCTATGTCTGACACCTGATGGAGTTCAGGACATGCTACCCCCAAATATGGCAGCTTGGCATGTTGAATGTTTCAAGCTGAAGGAATTTGAGAAACAGCAGGGACAGGAAAAATTTTCTGACCTTCCTCTGAAGCAGGTCTTAAGTCCCTCACGTGAGAGGCGCCCTCCCTATGCTCAGAGGAAAGGAGTATCTGTATCTCCAAAGTCAGAGGGATGCAGAAGGAATCCGAACAAACAGGACTTGCTGTTTTTCGCCCTATCACATTTTTCCACGAGATTTTCCACTCTTCACCAAATCCAGCATCAAAACACTCAGGTTGAAACACCTCTTTGGGCTTCCCTGGTGGCGCAGTGGTTGAGAATCTGCCTGCCAATGCAGGGGACACGGGTTTGATCCCTGGTCCAGGAAGATCCCACATGCCGTGGAGCAACTAAGCCCATGCGCCACAACTACTGACCCTGCGCTCTAAAGCCCGCAAGCCACAACTACTGAGCCCACGTGCCGCAACTACTGAAGCCCACGCACCTAGACCCTGTGCTCCACAACAAGAGAAGCCACCGCAACAAGAAGCCCGCGCACTACAAGGAAGAGTGGCTCCCGCTTGCCGCAACTAGAGAAAGCCCACGCGCAGCAACAAGGAGCCAACACGGCCAAAAATAAATAAATAAAATAATTTAAAAGAAAAAGAAACACTTCTTTGATCTTCATTTCTTTATGAAGCCTCCTATGTTGTGTAAAACTTAAATACATTTGTATGCTCTTCTATTGTTAATCTGTTTTTTGTTTGTTTTTAACAGAGGCTCCAGCTAAAAACTTGCAAGGGTAGAGGAAAAAAACATTTTCCCCTCCTACAGTTTCAAATAAATATTCATCTAGAAATTGCCTTGAGTCTGGCTGGAGTTGAAGACGCATTTCCTTCCAAATAAGAAACCAATACTTAAGTGTGAGGCAGACTGCTGGTTTAAGATAGATATTATTCATAATGGCTTTAGGAATTAGTCTACTATTCCTAATTCATTAGAGCATTAAAAAAAATTAGGAATTGTTACGGAATATCTATAATTCCAAGATAAACATTTAACGTTTAAATAAAAATGAGACAAGCTATAGCATAAGTGCGAAGAAAAAAATTCTCAAAAAATGAGTAGAAGAATCTCTTTTTAAAATTTCTACTTCAATTACTTAAACTCACGTTTGCTCCTTTAACTTCTCACAAACTATAAGCACAAAGGTCCAACATACCTCCTGGATGGCTGTCATGACAACGTGTTGCACAGATTCCTCCATCATCATGATGGCTTGGATGTACTCTGAAAGTAAGAACAACCTGGAATGTCAGTGTTCAAGTTATAGACAATCAAGGGAGTAAAGGCTAACACTTCATGAATTCTGAAAAGAAGTTTCCTGTGTTTTGATTCTTCCTCGGAATTCCTCGTATATGGTTAAATACATGTGTCATAGGTAAAGTAAAGGCTGAAAATCACATTATTTATCCGTCCTTAAAAATAACTGCCCCCCCCCATAAAGTTGAGGCTACAGCTAAAGGTCACAGGAATGGAGGATCTCGGGAATGTAAAACAATGAAACGGTACAGCCTAAGGCCAGAATGGAAAGGACTCTGTATTACTATTCCTAAAATCTAAAAATCTTTCACATTATTCTTCGCTACATGTTATAAAACTTTGATGTCTGTGTTTTATTCTTATGTGACATCAAAGTATTGAATTGTGTATAATTTCTACCTTAATATTTTCTACAATTAAAAAAAAAAAACTTAGGGATACTGAGACCTGCTCAGGACAAAGAATTAAGGTGAATTTAAGATAGAGACTGACGCTATAGTTAAACACTGTGTAACCCTGGGCTTTAAAACAATGACCCAAATCTCTAATAAGCTAAAGCATCACTTTCATCAACCTTACCCTCACCAATGCCGAAAAAGAGAAGGCTCCCTTAGCCGTTCAGAGTGACAAAGTTGAAAAAAAAAATTCTGCCTTCTAAATAAAGCCCTGGAAGTAGTTTTCATTATTTTCAAATCCAATAATAGATGAAAAAACAGGTATTAAGCATAAAAAATCAATAGGCCAGCTGGATTTCAACAAATACGTAAATATATTTTAACAAGAAACATTTTTTTTGAATTTTATTTTTTTTTATACAGCAGGTTCTTATTAGTCATCCATTTTATACACATTAGTGTACACATGTCAATCCCAATCTCCCAATTCATCACTCCCCTGTCCCCACCCAATAAGAAACATTTTAAAACATAAAGTCATTAGGAAATTATAGCCTCAACCTGCCTCTCTCCACTCTATACCCAAAAAACACCAAAAAAAATTGTCTCAGCACTCTAATATTATATGAAAGAGTCTTACTGTGCAATCGTTACAGTGACCTACTGGCAAGAAACTCATGGATTTGGAATGCCAAACTGTAGTCCTTTGCTTGACAGGTAACTTGTTTAAAAAAAAAAAAAGAATTTTGACAGCACTATTAAATTACGACATTCTGGTTGTTAATGCCAAAGCTTTTAGTTAAACAAAGCATGTTTTTAAGGAAGTACTGTCGTAAGGATGCTTGTACCCAATCAATGATGCATATGCAAGTATACACAACACACTTAAACCACAGGCATCATTCTTAGGCCCAAAGTGGGAATACTGTGCATGATAACTTAACCACTTTCCGGTTTACAAAAAAAAAGAATCCCTTTAGTCTGAGCTGAACTTTTTGTTTGTTTGGTTTGTCAGTGAGGAGCGTCCTACGAGCGTTGGGTACAAGGCACCGAGCACAGAATTCCCAGGCTACAGAGCAGCTGGCACAGCCGGGATCGGAATGAAAGACTGTGAACATGGTGGGGAGAGGCAGTGGCCCAGTCATGGGAGGAAGACGGACGACAGCCCTGTGGGTGTGAAGGGTGTGACGGGGGACAGGGGGCGGAGGTTAGTCAGGTGTGAGAGGGGAAGCGTTAGTTAAGAAGCGGTGTTGCCACGTCAAGGCCCTTCCCCGCGAACACCGTAAAATGCTGGATGATAAAATGATGATGAGAACCACGTTAATGTACTAGTTTTGAAAAGTTAAAAAAAAAAAGTTAAATCTTAAAAGTCCAAAATCCAAGTACGTATGATTACTGGCAGATCCAGGAGGCAGTGGAGAATGAGCTAGGCTACGCCAGGGAGTCTGTCCTGCAAAATGAGCGTCTAGGTCCAAAGCCTACAGCTCAGCTCAGTACAAAGAGCATTTAGTTCTAATGTGGGAGACACGTGTTTTTGTCCTCGCTAGCCTCTCACGAGCAAGAGATCTTGGGCAAGTCAAACAATACTCAGGAGTCTCAGTTTCCCAATTTGTAAAAAGTGCTGTTTGTTCTGTTAACCAGGCAGGAGGGAGAACTCGGTAAATATTATTTTTAGTGCGTTTTTACTGCTAATCTCTGCTTTTTCAAATACACCACCACTTACATGCCCCAATTTGACAAGTCAGATAGCCAAGAGAAATGAGCCAACGCCTCACTTCTAGGAACTGAGAAACAGCCTCTAAACACAGAGCCCTTGTGTCTGCGGTGCGCTATGGGTTGCGAAGCAAACACACACACCGTTTCACCGACTCATCACGATGACCAGCTGTCGTGCCCTCCCTCTGCAGACGAGGAAACAGGCCGGGCACCCAGGGCAGTGACAGGTAACACTCGGCAACTCAGAAGTGCATTTGATCCAAGCTCTCTGCTGTGTTCCTGAGACCAGAGCATGCCCTCTGGACAGTGAGAGGTTAAAATCCTGTTCAAATTTTTCATCATTTATGTAATTTTTAGGGAAAACCTCAAGCCAGGTGTTACAGAGAACACTTGGTCTGTGTGAGAAGCTCAACAAATATTTTGATTGTCTTCCCATAGAACGACGGATATAGGTAACATCCTTGCCTTCTCCTATTCACACCCTGTAATAAATAATGAGCCAACTCTTAACAGCTATACATCTCCAAGAGCTGATGAAACTCCTAACAGAATAAATACATAAGAAATTCTTATCTGAATTCAATGAACTACATTAAATAATTTTTCATCTGCCTTTTAAAGTCAAGGGTTCTACTTAGAAATGCCCACCCCACTCAACTGCAAGTTCCGTGAGGGCAGGTACTATATTGGTTTTGTCTGACACTGTGTTCCAAGCCCCGGCATGATGCATGAATTCAGTAAATGTTTATGAAGTAAACCCTTTGCACTTGCAATCTAAAATATCGAACTTTACACTCCTATAGCTGAATTGACTATTATTAATTAATTATTAATTAATTTGGCTGGACCTTGTCCAATTAACAGTAAATTTCATTACATTCAGTGTAGTTAAAAATAATTACTCAAAGAATTATGCAGTCTTGCAGAAAGGGGAAGAACATCATCATAATCAAATTTATTCTAACCTGTAAAACTCTTTTCAGCTTGAAAGCAGATTACTAGCAAAATCACAGAAAATGGCATACTTTGTGGGTGGCCTTAAGATGTTGTTGTTTGTACATGGGATTTATATATAAAATATACAATGTGTATTACTTTACTTAACTATTTTACATGCATACACTAACATCAAATAAATTACCTTGCTTCTGTTCACAGTTCACAGCACAGCCTAAAATGAGTTGGAGCATCCTTCCCAGCTCTGCGGCATCAGAATGCTCCCCAATAAGGTTCACATCAGGGAGAGTAAAGTCATTAATTTGCTGCCCTAAAATCTGGACAGAGATAAAAACATGAGAATTGCATTTACATCTATATGACCAAATAAAATACTTGATAGAGATTAGTTTGTCAGAAACTCACTGTTAAGAGCAGAGCAGTTAAGCCAATCTCACTCCCAATTTCTACTTATACCTCCCATACATAAATTATAACTATCCTGAGTCACAACAACTTAGTCCCTCATCTGGTATGTGGTATGCACGCTGAGCAAAGAAACTGAGTACTACTGACCCCTCCACCTCCCCCAGAAAGACTGGATGTGCACTCTCCAGAGAAGTAGAGCCTGAGAGCTTCTGAACCAGGGGGCACCAGAAAGAGCAGAAGTTAAATATAGGTTCATGCCCACAACAGGAAGACTCCCCTGGCCACCTTCACTCCATTTGACTCTAAAATACTGATAACAAGACACCCACATAAGGAAAGAGAATGGAGGCTTCCTTCATGGGGAAACTGGCCCCAAATGAAATGACACATTTAGACAAATGGGTAGGTTTCTGTCTGATAACCCTACAGTGAAAAAAGAAGATCCTAAAAGCACAGAAGCAGGATGAATGTGGCTGTAGTGTGATGGGTAAGGAAAGAGCAGGGAAAGAGGAGGTGAGAAGGTCATGTGGCATCTGGTGGCTCCTGATAAGAAGCATGGATCTGATTCTCGATGCGACAGGAAACCATGGAAGATGACTTGGAGGATGAGAGTGACATGAATTCTCCTTTTTAAAAACTCATCCTGGCTTGAGAGTGGAGAATAGACTGTAGCGGGGCAGAGGTGAAATCAGGGCACACTCCGCGAGTTATCTAAGCAAGAGCTGGTGATGGCTCGGTACAGGGTGGTGGCAGCAGAAACAGAGAAGACTGTATTTGGAGATTTAACTGCAGGTCTTGCTGCTGATGTCAGATGAAGGGAGGACTGCAGGATGACCTGTAGGCTCTGGACTTGAATAGTAGGGCGGACGGCAGAGTCACATACTGAGGTGAAGACAGATAACCTAAGTACAGATGTAGGTTTAAATGCACGTAAGCTTGTCGGGAAAAAACAGTAAGGAAATAACACAGGTGTTTCCAGGCTATGTTGTGTCCACTTGGTATCTGTGATCATGAAATTTAAAGTAAAACTAGTTCCACTGCCTGATTTTTTTCCCCAGCGATATCCTGACCGTTCTGATGCAGACTCAGAGGATAAACTGAGTTAATCTAGGGGTAGGGGTTTGCCAAGGAATAAAATGGAAGTAGGCACAGGACTTGTTAGTAACTATGCATGGACTCTAAACCACCTTCACGAGTAAGGGAAGAAAGGAGAGAGTTAACGGACAGCAGAAGGGAAAGTTTAACATAAATGAGTAACCACTCACAAACTATCCATATTATAGTGAAAAAGATTATCTAGTAAACATCTAATAGCTGGTGAACCAGCTTTTTGAACCAACATCTTAGAGACCATACAATGGAAGATAAAGCTGATTATTAATATTAAGGTAATATTTCCTTTACTTGAAACTACTGTAAAATATTGTAAGATTAAACTATCCTACAGTAATACTTCCAAGCAGAATGATAAAAACTCCTTACCTCATGATTGTAATCCAGGATTCCTTTCAAAATTTTCTTTAAATTGCTTATCTGTTTAAAGAGAGAGAAAACAACTGGGTAAAAGGCAATCACAGATGAAAATATAGTTTAACCTAAAAAATTTCTGAACCAACTAATCATTCTTGTTAATCATAAAGTAAACATAAAAAATAAAATTCAACAGTACATTTGAATTACTATCATAAAAAAGACTATCAGTGGCTTAATTTATTTGATATAAGAGATTTATAAAGCAAATTAAGTATCCAATTATGTTAAATTTTCAATGTTCTAACCGCACTGACAAAAATTCGAAGGTAACTGAACAAGACCTAACAGTAAGATTAAATTATGTAGATCTTCTGCATGGAAAAAAAAACGTATCATCCTTAGTGAAGACTTGAGCTCAGTGCTGTTTTACCCAGAAAAGTAGAGTTGCATGTTACATAGAGGGTAAGTTCTAAATTTAGAGCATTAAACAAAAATTACAGTCAAAATTACCCTTGGATATCTCCTAACACAACCTACAAATCAGGTAGTCACCTATGAAGGAATGTCTCCAAATTCCTCCATGGTCAGAAAAGTGTTTTCCTTCAGCTGAGACCAAGTAAATATTTAGGAGCCATAAGGTTAAAAAAATACTACTACATCTTTAAATGTTAGTATAACGCTCAGCATTGCCAAGATACTTGTGCTATAAAAAGCATCCCAGTAACAAGACAGGATGACGGACCAACACTCACTCAACTCCAGAGCGCAGGCTCCTGGTCATGTTACCTGGGTGAAATCACGGGCAGAATTACCTGCACTATTTACTGTAAACTTATTTTCTTCCCTTTTTTTTTTTGACCCAACTCATCTGGCTGAATTTGCATTAAGTCATATGCACACACGATATGATGCTGTTGATCATCTACCTGGCTGTCCCCAGGTAGATGCTCATAGTTGAAGATGTCCTAGGACAGAAGACTGTAGGAGTGATAGCTATCAAATAAAAGATTCCACAGCAGGGGGATCCAGTGGTTAATCAAAGACATACTTATTTTTAAGGGAGAAAATAAACTGAAAACTTCATATTAAAAAAAAAAAGAATCTCATAAATAAAACTAACATGTTCTGTATGCCTAAAAATTTGGAGACATGGAAAATATATAATATACTTTCTCTGGTTCTAGGGTGTTCAATTTTTCGTATTATAACATTTTAAATTAGAAAGTCTTAAAAATCAATGTTTTCACTTAAAATGGTAGTTTATTCTCCGCTGAAAAAAGCTACAAATCTTATAATTAATCAATGGTATCTTAAAATCAATCTTAAAATTGAAGAAATATAATTGAAGAAACATAATATAGGATAAAATATAGAGAATAGGAATGCAAATCGGAATGGTTACTTTCAGTTCAGAATATTAAGAGTACAATAAACATTTCGCTTTCTCTCTGTTACTGCCTTTGCCACCCTGGCGACACTGAAGACCGTGTGGATTTACACGCACACTGTGTGCACGGGCGTGGGACACGCAACTCCCCTTGTGAAGCAGCAGCAAACATAAGCTGATTTAGCAGCAAGACTTTAAACAGGTTATAACGTTAAAAAGCCATCACTTTAATTGCCTATTCTTGAAAGGTTATTTAGAAATTAAATAGCATCCATTCACTCTAGCTTAGTGAAAAGGAGGAATTAGATTTCGGCAGACCCAATATCTAGTCAGTGAATAAATACTTTCCTCAAACACGTGTTTTATGGGGAAATATAAAGACAAACCACGCTTAGCTCATCTTAAGTCCAGGGGTTTCACACGCTCACTCACTTGCACTTTCGGAGTCCCTACCAATGTGTGTTAAAAATAAATGGCTCCAGAGTTTTCCAAGCTGCCAGTCATGACCACAGATCAAGGTGGTGTAAGGAAACTACAGAGATGGAGAACAAGTCAGCGGTGGCCAGGGGTTCGGGTGAGGGTGGTGTGGCTGATGGGATAGAGGCTCCACCGGACACTTGGCAGGGATGGGGCAGCCTGCATCGCCGTTATGTGAGTCTCCACGCTGACAGGGCCACACAGAGCGGCGCACACACACAGAAGAGTGTGTGCAGAACGACTGAACTATGAACACGCTGTGGATCGTATCCACGTCGGTTCCCCAGGTTTGCTACTGCATTACAGTCACACAAGATGTTAGCCCTGGAGAAACTAGGGGAAAGGTATGTGGAACTTCTCTGTACATTTCTTTTCCCAACCCCTGTGAATCTATAATCGTTTCAAAATATAAAGTTAAAAAAATAATTTACAGATGGGTTGCAATCTATATTTCAAAAACTAAACTAAAAACATTACTGCATTAAGTAAGGTTAAAAACGTATTCAACTATTCAGGAACATGCAGTTAGGCGGGTGGGAGGCTGCAGTGTAAACTGTGTTTCTCACTGTGGGTTTCCATCAAAGATGCTTGAGGAATACCGAAAAATAAGGCTACTAGGAAGGAAATAAAAATAATCCATTCTGAGTGTTCTGGACACAGTTAATAATGATCAGTATTTTCTCATTATTAATAACAACACTAGCAACTAACATTACTGTCCTAAGTACATCATATGTATTAATTCATTTATCTCTGTGAGGTAGATCCTATCACAATCCCCATTTTACAAACGGGAAAACTCAGGCACTGAAAGGTTAAAGACTTTCCCAGCGGCTGTGAGCGGCTGGGCTGGGATGTGGACACAGGCAGTCTGGCTCTGAAGCCCGAGCCCTCAGTCACTATGCTTTACCAACTCAGACTATATCTTGGTGAGCAATTCCAGGTTACCCCAATCTTCAATTCTAGATTATTTCACCAAAGGCTATCTAAGTTTCTAAAGCTCACTAGACACATCAAAGTAAAAGTCAACAAGTATTATATACACCCAAGTAAAAGGTTAATTAACAAATAGGAAAATAAAAAGAAAATACCTTTAGCCTCCAATTATCTCCTACTTCAGTTTTAATTCTGTTTAGCCAATTTTCATCAAAATATGCAGGATCTCTGCAAATAAGAAAAAGCTAGCATGTTAATATCATGTAGCTTTCAAGCTAAAACAAAACCAAACACACACACAATTGAAACCGGTCCTGTATTATCACTTAACTGCAACAAAAAAAGGTATTTGACACACATGAGCCACAAAATAATACATGTACATGAGATCGAATGCAATTACAGTAGAAATCTCTAAAATCAACTGCTATCACTCATTAAAAAACATAATTTTATCAAAAGCAAGCTAAAAGGTGAAAAGTGATAACATACAATTAATACATGTTTTTCAAATTATACACTAATCTGGAATTAACATAATTAGTAGATACCATGCTAATATCTAAAAACAGTCAAAATCAATGACAATTGTTTTATAAAGGCAAAAGACGTATATTAGGAAGAAGGTTAAAATAAGCTTTTCAGTTAATATTTCAATGACTTCCATCACCTACTACTTCAAAGGTCACCAATAATGTTATTAAAATTTCAGTTTCTTTAAATAATATAAACAGAGAACCTGTTTATGTAATACTAGACATTAGACAAAGTTGGATACCATTTCTGTTTGCAGAAGCCCTAAATCTAAGATAACACTGGTGTGGACAAACAAACTGAAACAAGGATAGACGCTGAATATACTTATGCTTATTTTTCTTAGGAAAACCTCCAAAACTTCTATAAACACGAGAAAGAAAAAAAAAAAAGGTTTTATCCTGGTATGATAGTCGCTTTAAAGTTCCTGAAATCGATGCTCTAAAAAATTAAATTATTTGTTCAAGACCACAGACTGAACACCTCTGTCCTGCTCCAGCAAGTACCAAATCCAAAGATCTTTTCATTACACAACAACCTCCGTTCACTCAGAAAACATAATGGCAACAAGGGAAATATGTTAGGGGAAAAAAAATCTACATTTCAACTTACACTGTCACTCAGACTGATAAATACAACCGCTACTAAATTTTGGTCAAATTATCTTTAAATAAAGTCACCTATGTAGAATTTTAAAATTTTATTATTAAGAAAAATATACATATTTAGGCATAAGAATTTTTTGGTAGAATTTTTTTAATTAATTGCTTGATTAATTAATTAATTAATTAATGGCTGTGTTGGGTCCTCGTTGCTGCGCGCAGGCTTTCTCTAGTTGCAGCGAGAGGGGCTACTCTTCGTTGCAGTGCACAGGCTTCTCGCTGCAGTGTCTTCTCTTGTTGCAGAGCACGGGATCTAGGTGTGTGGGCTTCAGTAGTTGTGGCTCGCGGGCTCAGCAGTTGTGGCCTGCGGGCTTTAGAGCACAGGCTCAGTGATTATGGTGCACGGGCTTAGTTGCTCTGTGGCATGTGGGATCCTCCCGGGCCAGGGATTGAACCCGTGTCCCCTGCATTGGCTGGTGGATTCTTAACCACTGCTCCAACAGGGAAGTCCCAAGGCATAAGTATTTACGAAAAAAGTTACAGCTAAGTTTTCTCTGTAGAAATCTATTAGGATTATTTTTGAAGCCTGTATCCAAGTTAACATGTTAACTTTATTGTCTATTTCTCTACTCTTAAATTTTTAAAAATTGAGATATAATTCACATACAACTCACCCATTTGAAATACACAATGCAATGGATTTTAGTACATTCACATCACCACAATCTAATTTTAGAACCTTTCCACCTTCCCCAAAGAACTCCTGTATCCACTGGCTGTCACTCCCATTTCCCTCTCTCCAGCCCCTAGAAATTACTAATCTACTTTCTGTTTTCATGGGCTTGCCTATTTTGTACATTTCATATAAATGAAATTATACACTGTGTGGGGTCTTTTGTGTCTGGCTTCTTTCACTCAGCATGCTTTTAAGGTTCATCCATGTTGTAGGACGTGTCACCACTTCATTCCTTTTTATGGCTCAAAAACATTCCATTTATGGATACACTACATTTTGTTTATCTATTCATCAGCTGATATACATGCTTCACGTGGGTATGTTCCTAGGAGTGGAATTGCTCGGTCCCATAATAACTCTGTTTAACATCTGAAGTGTGACCAAACTGTTTTCCAAAGCAGCTGTACCATTTTACATTCCTGCTAGCAACACGTCAGTTCCAATTTTTCCACAGCCTGTCAACATTTGTTATTGTCTCTCTAAAAAGTTATGCTCATCCTAGTGGGTGTGAAGTATTATATTATCTCACTGTGTTTTTTTAAAAAAAATTGTATAATTCATTTATTTTTATTATTTTTTTAATTTTTGGCTGTGTTGGGTCTTTGTTGCTGCGTGCGGGCTTTCTCTAGTTGCGGCGAGTGGGCCTCTCATTGCAGTGGCTGCTCTTGTTGCAGAGCACGGGCTCTAGGCGTGCGGGCTTCAGTAGTTGTGGCACACGGGCTCAGCAGTTGTGGTGCACGGGCTTAGTTGCTCCGTGGCATGTGGGATCTTCCCAGACCAGGGTTCGAACCCATGTCCCCTGTGTTGGCAGGCAGATTCTTAACCACTGTGCCACCAGGGAAGTCCCTCTCACTGTGGTTTTGATTTGCACTTCCTTAATGACTAACAACGTTGAGCATATTTTCATGTGCTTATTGGCCACCTGTATATCCTCTATGGACAAGTCTATTCAGAGTCTTTCCTGTTAAACAACTGAATTGTCTTTTTATTATTGAGTTGTGAGAGGTGTTTTTTTTTTGGTTTGTTTTCAGTATTCAGGGTAAAAGCCCCTTATCAGATATAAGATGTGTAAATAATTTCGCACATTCTGTGAGTTATCTTTTCACTTTCTTGATGGCATAATTTGCAGCACAATGGTTTTTAATTTTTGATAACGTTCAATTTATCTATCTTTTCCTGTTGGTATTATATCTAAGAAGGTTTTGCCTAATCCAAGGTCAGGAAGATTTACTTCTTCCATGTGCATAGTGTACGTAAAGGGTCTAACTTCCTCCTTCTGCATGTAGATATTCATACCCATCTATTTTTGTTTTAAGCTTCATCTAGCTTCTTTAGTCAAGGTTCTTTTGTTGTTAAGTCAGAGAAACTAATTTGAGCAAAATTGTGCAAAAAAAGGGAACTTACTGGAAGACCACTGATGTATGTTATGGTACATAAAGATAGCTGGGCCTCCTTGAGTAGTGAAATAAGGATCTGGAAAGTTGTTAAGAATCCAGACAGTACTCCCCTTCTGACTTTCACCTTTGCTTCTGCCCATCTATTTGTTTTCTCTCTGAAGACCAACTTTTTCTGTTTCTCCACACAACGCTGAAGAGAGCCACACACACACTCCAAGTCTTCACGATGCCAGTTCAAGAAGATAGTTTTGAAGACCAGCCATCACTCAATCCCAATTCTAAATTCCCAGGAAACTCCAAATAATACAGCTAGAGTCTGTTTTTCATCCCTAGTCCGATTGTATGTGACCAAAAGGATGGAGAGCCACAAGTAGGACACCCACAACTTCAGGTTTCAGAGAAAGGGACTCCTGTAAACTGGGCAGAGAACCCCCCAAAAGTGTCCTCTTTGTTTAAAACCTCTTGTGAAAATAGATAATGCAAAGAAAAACAACTTAAGTGAATTCTACTGAGATATTAAAGAATTGTTATAAAAATAGCTCAGAAAGTAAAAAATATTCCATATTTTTAATAATCAAAAAAACTGTAATCTAAAAATCATAATCATTGCCAATCAAGTAATAGTCTTTCCAATCAAAAATGACAATCATAAGTAGGGCAATCTGTGAGTCTGGTGCTAAATGGGTGATGATTACCCAAAGCCAAAGGCACTGAACTTACTAGCTAAGTGGAAATTCAGGGCCACACAGCTAAAAGATACTTATATTTCAACAGGAAACCCCTTAACTTATAAAAAAGAATGCTTTAAAATGTCTAAGAGGGCTTCCCTGGTGGCGCAGTGGTTAAGAATCTGCCTGCCAATGCAGGGGACATGGGTTCAAGCCCTGGTCCGGGAAGATTCCACATGCCGCGGAGCAAATAAGCAACCCTGTGCGTCACAACTACTGAGCCTGTGCTCTACAACCCGCGAGCTACAACTACTGAGCCCACATGCCACAACTACTGAAGCCTGCACGCCTACAGCCTGTGCTCCGCAGTAAGAGAAGCCACCGCAATGAGAAGCCCGTGCACCGCAATGAAGAGTAGCCCCCCGCTCGCCGCAACTAGAGAAAGCCTGCGCGCAGCAACGAAGACCCAATGCAGCCAAAAATAAAATAATAAATTTTTAAAAAAAATTAAAATGTCTAAAATTATATACTTTGAGAACTCCAAGATTATGGGATACTTCATTTACAACTTAGAGCAACACTTCTTATGAATCAAAGAACTCAGAAAAATCTGAATAAAGTATTTCAAACCGATCACTATGATACAGTTTGCTTCTTGCCTAAAAGATGACCACATCAAAGCCTCAGAATGTGCCTGAGCTGGACGGGAAGACGACAAAAGACAGCCATTACCACCTGTACTCAGCACCAGTAACCTGCCAACCATGGAGCCAGGCACTCTGCGTTCACAGTGACACTGCCAGGAAGGTATCACTGTCCCCATGGTATGCTGGGCAATATCAGACTCAGAAGTTAAGTAATTTCCCCAAGTTCAATCACACCGTTAAGTGGCAGAGTTGATGGTACTGTCGCTTTTGTTACAAGAGATCAGCAGAGTTCAACACGAAACTGGTCCTAGCAAATACCACCAAGGTCCTGTGGCTAATTCTCTCCTTCCTGCTCAGCCATCTAGTCACAGAGAACAAAGACCCACATCGTTCAAGATGTTCTATGGTCAACAGGGGCAGGTGTCTGTCTCATTCACCACTGTCTGCCCAGCACTTCATGTCTGATGCACAGCAGTTCTCATTGATACCTGTGCACTGAAATACATTTGGAAGGTGATAGCACTTTTATTTAATAAGCTTCCAATCTGCTACTTGGGCGGAACACAGCAAGAATAGTAGTCCACAAATCTAAACTATGACACAAATTAACCTATCTATGAAACAGAACAGACCCACAGACATAG